TGGAACTTGGGAAACCAAAAAAGGAAAAAAAAAAAAAAAAAAAAAAAAAGGGCTGTATCATCTAGTCATTCAATCATTCTAAAAATCATATCACAAAAAAAAAAAAAAGTATTACATCAGAAAGAAATGAACATGCATCTGCTCTTTAATGTTTCCCTAGGATATATTAAAATCAGAAAACAAAAAAAGGAAAAAAAACCCGAGAAAGTCAGTCTTCACAAATTGTAAGCCATTTATATTCTCTGAATTTTTTCTGCCACGACAACAGGATTCTCTTTCCTTATTTTTGCTGCAGCTTCTGATTTATAATCATAAGGGCAGTTGTGCTTGTCAGAGTAACGATGAAGTCCACAAAACAAATTCCCACAACGGCAATCAAAACCTGTAATTAAAAAAATAAAATAAGTAAGCCTATATAATTAGACAAATGCTGCATTTAGAACCACCAATATGCTCTAGGATAGCGATAAGAGTGTGAGCTACGTTCAGTCACTGAAAAAGCTTCAGAACACTCTAGATATGCATAAGAGTAAACTGCTAAATGCAATCTTTTGGATAAAGAAGGTCAAACCAACATTAAACAAGAATGTGAATTATATAAAATGTACCATTTCATGCCTCTGAAGAGCCAGCCTAATGCCACAATTATGGCACAATACTTAAACTGGGCCCTTCAAGGGAAAACGCTCCACTAGACCAGGGGTAAGCAACCTTGGCTCTCCAGCTGTGCGGAAACTACAAATCCCATTATGCTTCTGCCTCTAGAAGTCATGCCTGTGGCTTGCAATGCCTTATGGGATTTGTTTCAGCACAGCTGGAGAGCCGAGGTTGCCTACCCCTGCACTAGACAAAAGGCCATCAGCAATTTCAGTTCTGCAGCCAGCAATACCGATATGACAATTACAGTTAGGAGCAACTTTGTTCTAATAGAGATTACGTTCTAAATAATGGAATGTTCAATTTCTTGAAATGTCCGCCCATGTTCTATGGGTATTTCTAGAATTACATTTCAAAACTTGGCTCAACATTTTTCTAATGCCCTATCCTATAGCTGGTATAAGGACCCATTTAAAGAAAACCTGCAAAGCCATTCACCCCGTGAAATTAAAATGTACATTCATTCTGTGTGAATGGAAGCAAAAACAAAATGTTAAGTATATTTTCTTCCCAGATCAATGTTTTATCAGCAAAGTACCTCATTATGGGCACTAGATGGAGCCAAGAAACATAGGAAGTGCTATTTCCTATGCTCCTCAGCAGCATCTCATGGCCATAATGCAGTATTTATCTGATACGACATTCGAGCTGGAAAGAAAATATGCCAACATTCATTTTTGCCTTCATTCGAACACAACTAATTTACATGCAATTTTGGCAGGACAAATGGCTTTGCAAATTCTTTATAAATAGGGCATATCAATATTAGTGCAATAGATGTACTGAATAATTAAAATCGTAAAACCCTTTGCAAACCAAATAAGGATTGAATAAACCTATTGCTGTGCCCATCTTTAACAGTATACTAAAGTATAGTGTATTTTAATTTGTGTTCATTTTCATAAGGGAAAGTATATTGGTTTTGGGGTCAATTCCATTGTACGTGCTTGTTTTTCCATATTTGATACTGAAGTAAATGAAGAGATTTAAAAATTAGGCACTAAAGACCTATCAAGGGTTATTAAGCATTAATACCCAAAAGGAGTGTCGTATGATGAGCTGACCATTTAATAAGCAGCAGCAGGGCCCTACCAGTGTGTATCACTGCAATGCAGGAAGCATAGTGAGGCATGTGTAATTGAGGGAATATGGCTGTACCATATACGTATACAATTACAAAACTTCACACTTTTTTTTAAACCATTGGCACAAGTTGAAATTACACAATTTCAGGTTTTATATACTTTAACCTTAAAAGGAGAACTATGAGATGAGTGATTTCCACTCACCTCATAGTTCTAAGCCGACCTGTGACAATGAGACTGTCACAGGTCGGCTCAGTAGATCGGGAGGTGAGCAGAACACATACCGGGTTCGCTCACCTCTCGATCTTGTCACGGCTCTCTGCCGTGACAGGGGGAGAGGCTGGATTCCCCTCTCCGATCTGCCAGTGCTGACTGGCGGAACGGACGGGGCGGGTACAGCTGGCTCTGCCTCTAGATAGGCAGATCCAGCTGTCACTCACGCAGCTGGGCGGATCTCGACGTCGATGTCGGGATCCGCTCCGGCGTCTCAGTATACCACGAGCTGTAGTTCTCCTTTAAGCTAAAAGGCAAGATCAAACACCTCACTCATTCAAAACATACATTTTTGTAAATTCCTATACCTATGAAAAAAATAAATACTTTTATTGTACCTGTGAGCCCAATCTTCTTCCTACACATAAAACATCTGTTCTTCTTTGGTTTTGGGAGCTCTGGTGACTTATCTTCATTCTGTGATGTGCTAGGCTGAGACACTGATGGACTTGGTTGAGTCACAACTGTAAATGAAGCAAAAGCCAAATAAAAATTTTATTCAGATGCGTAAACAATTCTACTAAAAAAGGTCCCTAGTTCTTGCTTTATTACTTCATGCAGCAGATGGATAGGATAGTATGCAGCCAGCTAACCCAGATGGAGTTATTTTCCTATCCTATTCTACCACAAAAATAGTGTCAGACTAGTGCAGGAATGGAAGACAGCAAGGGATTAAAAAGTATTTCCACTTCTGCAGTCAAATTGGGACAACACTTAAAAATGTACATATTTACATTGGAGAACTTAATACCTACCTAGTGAACCCCCCATATAATGTTAAGGAAGGGTCTGTCACTGTACTGTGCAGGCAGCTCTCCCATCTCAAAAAAATAAAAAGAAAGCATCTTCTAGGTCTGGTCCATATATTTCCACTAGAGCTGCAGCTAACGATTATTTTCAAAATCGATTAATAAGCGTAAAAAGTTGACAACTTTTTCAATAATCGATTATGTCGATTAGTTGTTGCAGCCCTAATTTCCACGGCCTAAATTAGAGATATCAGCCTTCAGCCTCAGTCTAACTGTACTAAAACTAAACAAAACCCAAAAAGCATAGGCTGGGAGAGCCATTTAAAAACTCGCGGCAGCAGCTTAATAAATGTCACTTTATTCATTGTAAATGTCTGTACATTGAAATCACACCACCAAAACCCTAATAACCCGTTTAAAAACAATTTGACAATGTTGTCAGAATATTCACACTAGATCTCATTATCAGTTGGAAACTAGATTTGAAAGGGTTAAAAAATTAGCAGTCTGGCTACTGCATTGTAGGATGAGCGGAAACACAGTCTTCCTCCATCCAGTGTTTAGGCTGCATGGGGGAATGAAGTAATCTCTCATTCAGCCTCATAGGCTGAAATCAAAGTGTGTATGAATAGCTTTAAGGTGCCCATACACTGCACGATTATCGTATGATCGTGGAAAATCCCACGATCGTACGATAATCGTGGAAGGTGTGCGACCGTTTCTACTGTATGGTCGCACGACTTTTGTATTTCGAGCATGTTCGAAAACCAGTCGAGAATCGTACGATTTACGGCTGGTTTGAATCATGATCGGGAGATGACTGCCGCACGGGCCGGTGTGCCCAAGCGCACACTGACCGCTCAGCATTGCGGTCACTGGAAGCCCGCCCCTCAGCGGGGCGGCTTGCGATGATCGCAAGTACGATCTGCATGTCCAAGATGAAGACAAAAGTCTTGCAAGGGTTGTAAAGTGTATGGCCACCTTTAGATAGTCAACATGGACTTCAATTAGGGTTTATAAATTGGTTACAGTGATCAGGCAATGTAACCACAGGAGCAAGCATGCTTGCATATTTAAAAGGTGCGCATGCAGCTGAGCTCAGCATTTCTAGGATAGGGGAAAAAAGAGCATGCTGCGCATGCGAGGCTGGGGCGAATGCTCAAAGTCTAGTGTGTCCTGAAAACTATCCAGCATGTGGGAATGAAAACATTTTTGGGAGCGTCAAGGCACTGGTATTTAACTCCAACCCTCCCTCTACAGCATTGTATTTTACCTTGTTTCTATAGTGAAAACAGCTTTTTTTAAACTCCCTGTGATATCACCAGGTGTGTAAATTTCTTGGTAGTCAAGGCAACATTGTTTTGCTAGGAAGAAAATGTATGCATGACTGTAAAGTGGGACAGGGTGAGAGGTAGGCAGAGCTCTGTAGTCCAGCAGGTAGGGCTGCCAATGCGGGTGGGGATTTCAGTTCAACAAGGGCACTGTGTTGTCAGCCCAAAACAGGAAGTTAGGACCACAATGGATTTCTGGCAGATCAGATATTTTTCTGGATTTGGCTTAGGCGATCGGCGGGCTATGGACCTGCTGATCGCCTATATGTGAAACACCCGGTACCGGGTGTTCGCATTGGACGGGTCTTTTCTGCCCGTGCGTGCCCGCGCGAGCAGAAAAAAATTGCCGTCTGGAGACGGCAACCCGCAGATGCTGCAGTGCCGCCGTCCGTTTTTTTACTACGGGCGGACGGCAAGAGGTTAAAGGGGATGCAATAGTGGGAAATGTGCACACGTTCTGCAAATTTGCTTTTTTTTGTCTTCACACTTGAACCCTTTAGTGAATATGGACATGCAACAAGATCTGTCAACTCAGCGAGAAGTATGCAATAGGATCCAAATGGGGGATGCAACAGATCACAAAATATGCCAATATACTTATCTACATCCACATATTATGGACCAAACAAAGAACAATGGTCAAGAGTGTTGCTTTACATTACAATGGGCTGCAGCCAAGATTACATAGAAAGACAGAAGGCATAAAAAGATGAAACTTTAAATTCCGCACACTAGACCCTGCGTACCTGGCTCTGTGGACTCTGATTTGGGAGATGTCACATGGTCTTCTCTTGATATGCTCATTTCTGTCATTTGCTGAGTTACAGGCAGGGCAGCCACATTTCTAAGAAAAAAAAATGGAACAAAACGGCATCACTGTACTAAACTCCTGTGGTAGCATTGCAGCTTATTTTTACTAATAAAGCTCATATTGAGGAAATGGTACAATGGACTATTTTTTTTAGAATAAGGAGGAGAAATTAAAGCAGTATGCAGACTGGCTCATATGGGGCAGTATGAACAGTTTGTGAATTAAGCCACTGAATATATATATATATATATATAACTTTAAGTTTTGGATCGAGAAGGAAACAGTGTAATGTGTGTGTACCATTGGGGAAATTTCCCTTTACTTCCTGCTCCAAAGACACAGCAGGAAGTTTTATAACATTTTGAGCGTGAATTCTCTTAGACAGAGGTCTCCATACCTCCTGTTCTAGGGAAAATTCTACTATTTCAGATTTCGCCTCACTTAAACTGGGGTCAGTGGTCACCAGCACAAATAGAAGATAAAATCTCCCCAATGGGGACACAGACAGCAATAACTTTTCAGAGACCGTCCCCACTTTGTAAAAAAAACCCAGCGATACACTTTTCAAACGCATATGCCTGTAGACTCAATTTACCTTGATTTTTCAGACTGGCTGGCAACATCACTTTCACAGTTTAGTGCAGTTTCAACTCTCTGTTTAGATGCGGATTCTGCAGTAGGACTAATTGAACCTCCAGTTGCTCCTAGATAAAAACAGAGAATGAACATCAGTACAGATTGTAGAGCCAACAAACAGTTAACCAACATATAGGCCGTACTTGCACAGATTGATCAGATTGTAGTAGTGCACTTTGTGTGCTGCTCTGTTCTATTACTACGCATGATTTTTGCTTTTAATGTCTCTTCAGTATTGAAATGAATATCACCCAATCCAGAACACTAGTCCCATTTACAGTACACACAAAAGCATGTGTCTTTCCACAACAAAAGACAATGTCATTAGCTTATGTATGCACAATCATTAACCTCCATATCCAAACAATAGTGTAAACCTGGTGACATCATTAACAAATTTAGACCACAGAACACCAGGACTGGGGCTGAAATACATAAAGCATAGTCGCATATATTGTCATCTGTTTGACTGTAAACCAAATAGCAGTACAACGAATAGGGAGGGAACACTACAATGGCATATTTTAAGATCTTTACTAAAAAGCATAACAAATGACTACGTACTGGAAACTTGAAACTGACTTTTCATGCGATTATCAAGCCCCACCCAAGAAACTGCAAGGGTGGACAAAATAATATTGAATACATCGAGGCAGTCTGTCCAATCCAGGGGCCAGCTTTATTGAGAACCAGAGAACCCCTCAAAAAAGTAGGTGCCAGCTGTGATGTAGGAGTATTGGCTACCAGGCTCATGGAGTTTGTGCAGCCCTTCAAGAGAGTTTAAGTGACCATACACTGATTGCAGCCAGTTCTTCATGAACCGGCAAAAATGCGCAGTTGGTGATACTGTCGGCACTCTTTCTGCCTGTCATCGCTCAATCAGTTCATCGAAGGAGCCAGTCGGAAAATCGTTGTACGAACAGAGCCGGCAGCTCATTAGCTGCCAGCTCTGTTCAGGTAACCCGACAGCAGCTTGCGGGTGCTGTTAGCACACAAAAGAAACAGCGGGGATTCCTCGATGGAATCTGCTATTTTTTGTTCAGCCTGTGGGCTGAATGAAAAAAACAAAACAAAAACAAAACCTAGAGCAGTGTATGGCCCGCTTTTAACAGCACAAGGGCATTGTTCCAACCAACATTACATTAAACACCTTACATAATCAAGGCAGCAATGGATTACACACACTTCAGATTAGTATAAACAGTAGAATATCTGACCACAGCACAGTGCCAGCAATCACTGGATGACTTTTGCAGTCAACAAACTTTGTGCCTGGGCAAGTATTGGACTGTACATGTAGACATCCATGCAATAGGATGGTCATCAGAATACCAACACAAGACAACTGGCACAGCTGGCAGACAGTTTTCATTTAGAGTCCCAAGTCTGTTCCTTATCGTGTGATGCTGTATTACAAGTTTATGTCTCCAAATATATGGTGGCACTCAAAAGATTAATACTAGAAGCCTGGTCAAGGTTTATGGGCTCTATCTGGTCTCATATAATCATCAGCATGTCATTGATGAAAAGACTCTCCATTTTAAAATTACAAAGGCTCCAAATGCCACAGTTCCCTGGTTTAATCAGGGCTGCACATTTTAAACTCAAGTTTAACCTGTAGCTGAACCGAGTGTTCTAATCTTTCCTATTCAGATTTTATGGCATGCTATTGCGGTGATGGAAACCCCATTGTTCTACTACAGTGATAACAATAACAGGCAGACCAATAGCAGCTGCAGGGGGCTTTAATGAACAGTTTATGCCCTTTAATGAAAGGAAAGCCGTAAAAGATGTGCAAGCTTATAGTGCTTTGTTAGATTAAACTGCATCACCTTTACGCTTTATTGCAGGACACAGTGTAATATAAAAATATATATA